AACCTGGGGTTCCGCCTCCATCAATCATGCATTCACACAAAAATACACACTCTTGTGTGTTACAGCCTGCTCAGTGTTTTATAACTAAGGTGTCACTTTATTTTTAAGCTCATTTAATAAGACAAGTTGAACCAGAACAGACTCATTTGGAGCAGCATAGAAACACATACAGTACACACATGGATCACTGTGTAGAGCTATGGGCAGCTTCTGCACAACTTCTATAATTAATTAAAGTCCCACTCCAGAAACATTTTCATTTTTATATTTGTATATAAAAATACTTTACTATAAACAATATGCAGTCTAACACAGCTTTTCCTCAAAAAAATTTCAGTGGGCCTCTGTAATAGGAATGAACATTGCCCCTCATTGTGCATTCCAGGATCTATGAATGTTGCCGTCATCCCTTATGTGGATTTGAATAATTTTGCACGCCCAATTTTTCAGTTTTTTATTTGTTAAAAAAGTTTGAAATATCCAATAAATTTCGTTCCACTTCATGATTGTGTCCCACTTGTTGTTGATTCTTCACAAAAAATTACAGTTTTATATCTTTATGTTTGAAGCCTGAAATGTGGCAAAAGGTCGCAAAGTTCAAGGGGGCCGAATACTTTCGCAAGGCACTGTACTTTGAGAGCTACTAAAATATATTGGTGTCTGGGTTGCATAGTCCTGTATATTGGCCCGGGAACACTGAGATCTTGTGATTTTAATCCGAGGGAGGCATTTAGACAGGTGACAGTTTGCTGCACATTTACCTATTTATTTTTTCAAAAAGATGTCATGCATTTTAGGTTCGAATAAGACTGTTTATGTAATTCCCAGGGTCTAACGCTACGTGCATGATATCCCGAATTGCACCATGAACACTCAGGAACTGCAACCTAGATTATAAATGCATTTCAGTGCAGGACTCATCAGTAATTGATGATGAGCAACAATCCCCAAAGTCAGGCTTTTGCATTTTTAATAAAATTGTTAAAGCCAATGGGAGTGAATTTAAAAAGTATAAACCTTCAAAATAAAAGCACCTTCAAGTTTGGCACTTGTTCACAGATTTACTATCTTTTCCCTTTGGAACTGTAACATAGTCTACATATAAAAACAAAGCAATGTGGCTATTGCTGCATACCAACACAGACAGTAAGCTTGACAGTGGGTCTGTCACTGTGTGGTTTGTGGGTGAGAGAGACAGAAGATGAATCATTCCCTCTAGAACAGAAAGATGAGGAGAATCTGTCAAAGTGGGGAGAGTTGCATCTAATTTCATCATCGGTTAATATAATTTTCTAGGTTAATCGTTTTTGCCCATTAAAAACTTGGAAAATTGTAAAAAAGCAAATATACATTTGCCATTACACAATTCAAAGAAATGCAGCTAGCTGATCCTAACTCTTGAGGATCTGCTGTTAGGAAATGGTTGCCATTTTTTTCTTGAAATAAGTAAACCAATAACCAAAATTGTGGTTTAATTATTTGCTGATTGAATAATCGATTAATCAGCTGGCCGACATTGTTTTAGCACTAGGATTTTTAATAGAATGTAAAGCCTAGTTTACAGATTAGTGCAGTATAGGTTAGGTACCACTTGCATAATGTATTTGGTTAATTTCACTGATGTAGCTGATCACTTCACCATCAGTGTCTGTCTGTTAACTTCATTTAGATAAAACAATCATTTCCAGGTTCAGTTTAAACCCCTTTTTCCACAATCCTTTTTTTTTTATTAAAACAGGTGTAAAATATAGACACGTGACAAATGAAAGATTTTGTAAAGTGCTGGGCCCCACGTGCCACCAGAACAGCTTCAGTGACCTTGGCATTGACTCTCCAAGTCTCTGAACTGGAGGGATGAACACCATTCTACTAACGGATACTCTCATGCGGTGTTTAGTGATGGTGGAGATGCTGTCCAACACGTTGCTCCAACATCTTGTATTGATCTTCAACTGGGCTGAGATCTGGTGACTGTGAAGACCACAGCATATGACTCATTCCATTTTCATACTCATCAAACCATTCAGTGACCCCTCATGCCCTTTGGATGGGGACACTGTCATCCTGGAAGCGATCACTGTTATTCAGGTTTCTCCTTTAATTTGTCCCCATTTGTAGCTTAAAGCTAACTCAGGTGGAGTTGTTCATGGGCTTTGACAGACAAGCAATAAACTAAAACATAAATGTTCATATTTTTAGTTGACTGATAGGTTTCTGACCGTATTTGATTGTTGAGGGTGAGTGAAATGAGCAGTGGATGCCTCTGCCCGTTTGGTCGTCACATTGACATTACTGCTGATTGTTTCTCAAAATCTAGATTTGCATAAATGTCACCTAAAAGGACAAATAGTGTAGTCATCCCTAAAATATCATCACATAGATTAAGAATCTGTTCATTAATAAAATAAATGATGGGTACAATGATAATGAAAATAATTGTTAGTTGTAGCTTTAAGTTGCTGTTCCCTGTCATTAAGCTTTAATTTTAGATATATGGTGGATGAGGTTAAATGCAAGTGAATAGAATGTGGTCATGGAAGGTCCCAAATATGGGTGTGACGAGATCTCGTGATATGAAATCTTGCGGTATTAAAACGTAACGATATTTCTTGTCGTGGTGAAAAGTTGTCTCACGATATCGGTACAAACCGGAACCAGAGCAGCAGCCAGTATGACGGAGTGTGATCATATGTTTATGTTAGTCCAGCAAAAACGCAACTCTCTGGTGTGTTTTAATGCACAAGGCTGCGTTGGTCGGGGAGTGACGGGTTGCAAGTGGAGTGTTGTAAGCGTGATATGGCCATGTTGTGACGAGTTGACATGAGTGGCTTCATTCACATTTCCAGCCCGCGAGTTTCTGTTGTGTTTTGGTTAGCTATGCTGCTAACGTAGCCTACTGTCCTCTGGCACCAATTCTACCACCAGTGTGACTGCACTGATGAATAAAAACACTGTTTAACATCCAGTACTAACGAAATGCATGGCGTGTTGTTGTGCGTTAACTGTGGCCCTAATTCCGCAGTGAACGGTAGTCAATGCTCATGCTAACAAAGTAAACAAAAGTATTCCCATGAGCGTCTACGTCCTGAAGGTCCCCCTACGTGATTGGTCAGTGCAGCACCCTTGTCGGGTGATAACGTAAACATATGATCACACTTCGTTGCTGCCTCATAGTCCAATATGAAACGTGCTGATTTAAGGCGAGGTGCAGTAATTGACAGTTAAGAGTCAGCTTATTTTTAGTTTACTTTCAAGACTTCCTCATTCCTCTGATTATTATGGTCAGATGAATGAACTATGGAGCACCTTCAGTAATACATAATGCATAGCAACAATGAGAAATACATACTTTAACCATCTATAGAAAGCCTTCATAAATAAGATTTAGCCTTTTTCCTTCCTTAAATCAAAGTTTGCTCCATTAGTGACCCTTTCTGGAACCAGTTTATTGTTCCTAATACATATGGTAGGATTAGGTTCTAGTGTCCTTTCTCAGCTTGTTGACCTCAGACACAGTGAAGCCTGTGATAAGAGATAACTGATGCATACCTTGATAGCCTCATCATATTAAATAAATATCCAAACTGGGCTTGTCGCTCACAGGCCATTTATTATTCAGATCACTGCTGTATCATTGCTCTCTGTCGGGTCCTATCTGATACCATAGAGATGTCCCTCCTTGTCCTCGTGCTCTGCCTCCTCCTCCTTGTCCCTTTTTCTCTTCTCATCCTGTGCCATCTGCCAGCTGCTGGTGGAGGGATGAATGTGGTACAGATTAAATTGCACTGCACATCCAGATGAATCCCAAGGGATTTAGGTTTTTGCTATTAACAGTATAGAGACTTCTCCGCCTGCTACTCAATATTACTGTAATATTTGTGTCTGTATAATTTCAAGTTGGAGAGCTTTTGAGGTGTGGGGTTAATTAGCCATAGTATCTGGTAAACTTTAAAAATTAAGAAAATGAAAACCCTATGAAAGCAAAGTAAGTTAGCAGATCCTAGCTAGCATTGGGTGAGAGGCAGGGTCCACCCTGGACAGGTCACCAGTCTATCCACAGGGCTGACACAGAGAAAGACAACCATTCACACATACAGGCAGTTTAGAGTTGCTAATCAGCCTAACCTGCATGTCTTTGGACTGTGGGAGGAAGCAGGGGTACCCAGAGAAAGCTCATGGCACGAGGAGAACATGTTAACTCCACACAGAAAGGCCTCAGGAGTATATTTTATAAAATAGACAATAGTGCAAAAAACTTGCTGTGATAATCCAGACCACCAGGTGAACTCTTTATGCAAAAATCCCATATTAATCAATTTACAGTGATATAAAACAGATTAATCAATAGTTTAACTAATTATTGAATTCCCAATTGTCTTAATACAAAATACAAGTTTTTGCATATGAGAAATTCATTTAGAAAGTATGATTAAAATCAAAAATGTCAAAGAGTAAGTAAACTAGACTCACGTATTCAGTGCCCCATTTTGATACTAGGGCTATGAAAGCATTTGTGTGTTTTCCAAGTAAATTGATGTGTGATATCTAGCCCTAATAACCTTCTGTTTGACATTTCATTTTTAATCTTTTCTTGGACCCATTATTTCTGTGATTTCACATTTAATGTTTATATCCGGTTTGTGTCTCTCCTAGGTTGTGCTCTGAACAGGATTTCCTTTGAGACAAAAGGATCATAATCTGAAAATCAGTTGCATCACGCCCCAGCCATGAGCCACAAGTATCAGGGAGAGGCAACGGGGGAATCAGGTGGGGAGCACAAGGTTCCTCTGAAGAACAGGCAGTCTAATGGGATGACTCCCGGGGAGCCTCCTGTACGTCGGTCCTGGAGGCCGTGTCAGATGCTCAACCAGGATGGGGAAGTGAATCCTCCTCCGCATCATCATCACCACCAACCTCCACACTACCACCACCCTCCTACAGGACGTGGACCCTCTCGGCACCGTCGGCGGCTCCCGTCAGGGCAGGGGCAAGGCCAGAGTCAGCCTCAACGTCCTGGTCTGGTCCCAGTGGTGGCTTCTTCCAGGCCGGAGGGGCATGACAGTCATGATGCTGAGACTCGTCCCGTCCAGCAACCTCGCCGTGCTGTCACTCGCTACCGCCGTCATGGTGACCCTAACCCCAGACTCAGAGGTCACAAACAGAGGCAGCCAGTTCGAGAGATCGAGAACTTTTCATCTGGGGTGGATTTGACAGAAGGTTCACTGGAGTTGCAGGTGCAGCAGCGTTCATCATATGATTCTGTAATGGACCAATCACAGGACAGTCCCCAGCAGACTCCCATTGCTGTTGTCACTCCCACCCACTTTTCAGCTGGTCCTTCAACCCATATTGTTCAGTTTCACCCCCACCACACTCCTCTCGTTCAGGCGGAGGAGGATCTCCAGAACTATGAAGTGGAGTGTGAAGTAGAATTGGAAGAAACTAAGGAGAAGGCTGAAGAGCAAGAACAGGTGCGAACAGCTACAGGTCAAGCCACCTCCAGCCATCATAATGACGTTCAGACAGTTGATGTTGGAGCAGAGGAGTGTGCAGAAAAGGTGGAGGAGGATCAGGAAGAAGTGATGGATCTTGTAATGGAGGACAGTGCAGTTCAGAGAAATGAAATCACAGATCTCTGCTCTGACACGGAGAGCGCCGCCTCACTCAGTATGGATGGGCCTCTCCACAGCCCGCCACCACTCCATTCACCAACTCCTGCTTCGTCCCCTGATGTTCCACTTTTTGCCCAGTTAGACCACTTCAGTGAGGACACCAGCATGAGCCCCATACCTGACAATGACCTACCTGAGGATGAAGATGAGTATTCGTCTCAGTCATGCTCGCTGTCGCACTCCACTTCCTGCTCTGAATCTTATCCAAAGACCTATGCTGACTTTTATACAGAGTCCCACCAAAAGTCTTACTCGGAGCCTGTCTACAAGTCCTATTCAGAGCCAAAACCCCATCCTAACTCTTTTCCTGAGCCCCTTAAGACCCCCTATCCTGAGTTACACAGAGAACCTCGCAGGCAACCTAGTTGGATGACTGAGGCTAATGAGATGCAGCAGGAGTCCCGCCAGGAGTCCCGCCAGGAGTCCCGCCAAGAGCCCCGCCAGGAGCCCTTTACCAGCCATAGACAGGAGAATGTACAAAAACCGACTCCATTCTTGCCCACCAAGGGCTGCCATCATGCCCCAAGGCAGGTCAGAGACCGCAGTTCGCATCAGTCCTCTCTGGACCGTTCTGTTGGCTGCCGGCTGCATCACTATGACGGTCAGTCTGACACTGAGGGAGATAATGTCAATCAAAGCCCCATTCCCAGAAGTTGCAGGCAGCCATCCAGGCAAGTTGAATTCCAGGCCAAGGGCCCCTCATCTGAGCAGAGTGGCTTAGGAGAGGCCCAGAATGGGCAGAACCCGGTGAGTCTTCCAGGGGAGGAAGGTTCAAGGGGCTCAGGAGATGCCATCAGCCTGGCCATTAAAGACATCAAAGAGGCGATTGAGGAGGTGAAGACTAAGACTGTGCGCTCCCCATACACACCTGACCAGCCAGTGGAGCCTATCTGGGTGATGAGGCAAGAGATCAGTCCCACGGAGGATGTATACCCACTGCAGACTGCAACTGGCCATGTTAGTATGACTTCACTTATTATTAGTCCTTACTGTATTAGATTTTTAGGAACGTGTCTCCCAAAAGTTCACATTCCTGTTCTGCTCCTTATTACCACTGACAAGGGTGGGGTAATGTTTTGGCTGGTGTTTGTTGGTTTATTTGTTCACAGCATAACTCAAAAAGTACTGAATAAATTTTGATGACATTTTTTAGGGAGGTAGGTAAGGTCCACTGAACTGCCTGGCAGAGATTCACACTCTCTCAGTGCTGTTGACAAATGCAGTGTTTCAAGCCCAAACTGGCAAATGTTGCATTTTTCTTCAGTAATAATAGATTAGAAATTTGGAAGCAACTGTTTTTGGGATCAGCACCTGGACACGATAGAGGTGTGTTTTCACACCCAGGCTCTTTAAAAGGAATTGATTGTTTAACAGTTTTTATTTTTACAGTTTTTCCACAGTCTGAGGGTCCTGTCATGTTGGTGGCAAAACGGGGCAAAAACAGAACAGAAACATGGGAAGAAGGCTGCAGAGTGCCAGAGTAATTAATAGTGGCAAAATCACAGAAAACCTGTGCTGTTAAGAATATTTTCCGAATACTGAGAAAATGGTCCCATGAATTTCCAGGCTTAAAAATGAAGAAACCTAACTCAGCTGCAGTTATCTTTTACTTTTCAGTGGCACTGCTAATTAATGTTGTTGATTAGACAGTGCATCAGGCAGGAATTAAAGAAATGGTTCTGCATTTTGGCTTGTTTTGTCTTTTCAAGTGTGAGAAGCAGCTGGCCTGGATGCCCAAATCCTGAGTCGTGTATTGTCTGAATAGGATACAGTAGATCCTGATGAAGGCTCTAAACACTGCAAATGTCGCTGGACATTTTCCTTTCTTGTCTGAATAAGATGTCAGCACGAGTTGCTGTAGATGCATTGCTGTTTCAGTGGCGTGATTTTTCTTTTCTTGTTTTTGTTTCCTTCTCCCAGTCCTCACCTCACTCCCCCTCTCAGTCGATGTCTGAGTCTCCATTCCACTCTGCCACAGTTTCAGTTCGGGAGCCGCTCAGTCCGCAGAGAGCTGAGTCATCCAGAGCACTTCATCACCAGCCTTATCACGAGCAGCAGCCCCAACACAACCATCACCACCACCAAAGCCACCAGTCACAGCACAGGGACGTGTCGAGGCCGCCACAGACACATGCACAGCCGCAGTCATACAGTGGTCAACAACAGATTCAACACCAACAAGAGCATCAGAAGCCTCCACCTCAACAGTCGAGGACACAAGTTCAACAGTCGCCTCCACAGCAGTCGTCTGTCCAGGAGGTGAGAGGGCTTGAACAGACACAGACAAATCAAAATAAAAAAGACACTCGTATAACTCCAGCAATTTTCTTCAATATCCATTGGGAGTAGTATGGACCTCTCTGGTTACACTTCAGACAGGAACATCAACATGTTAACAGAGACCAGCATGGACCGCCAAACCCCAATAAACTGTTAAGTTATTAAAATTTCCAAATAACAAGCCTTTACTTGCTTCTTGAATACAAATAGTTATTAGATCCTCAACCCTAGAAGCCCATTTTAAATCTATAGAAAATTTTAAAACATCTCTGGTTTGGGAATCTCAGGTATGATGATAAATCCTGAAAAGACAGGTGTCTTTTGTAAGGTGTTTATCTGCCAGCAGCTAAATGGCTGACAGCAGTGGAAGTCCTGCAGAATTTCAATGAGTTAGGAGAGACCTGCAGTATGTGAGCAGAAATGATGAGAGTGATGATGATGCCTTTCTTGTTGTGCCTTCTCAGATTCGCAGATCTCTTCCCCCGTTTCCCACATTTGTGGATGGTAAGTAGTAGAGATGAAAAAAAATCATCCATTATTTTTATCTGATGAGATCAAGATGAATACTGGAGCAGTTATGGTTTCATATACACCACTATGGTGACATTTTATTATACTGTAGATGCAGTTTTATTCATCATTGCTTTATTTTCACTCTCTACTCTGTATGTGTGTGCATGTGCCTAACAAGTGCGTTTGGTTCATGCAGTCCCGGGACCATGTGACCCCGAAGACCTAATTGATGGCATCATCTTTGCAGCAACCTACCTGGGTTGCACCCACCTGCTGTCAGAGAGGACGCCCACAAAGAGCGCCCGCATGCAGCAGGCACAGGAGGCCATGAACCGAGTTCGGGTGAGAGCAGACTACATTCGTAGGGTACAAGCAGTGGACACTGCTTCTTTGATTCCACCGCTGGAATGTTTGACAGCGCTATCTAGTGTGTGCGTGTGCGTGTGTGTATAATATTCATGCTCAGAATTGGGACACTGAAATAAAACAGTGGAGGGTAAAAATAGTGCCTTCTCTAGTGCAGTCATGTCCATAGGTGTTCGGACAGTGACACAGTTTTTGTAATTTTACCTCTGTACACCACCAGAGTGGATTTGAAATGAAGCAGTCAATATATTTTAGAAGTGTAGGCTGTCAGCTTTAACTGAAGAGGTTTAATAATAATATCACATTAACCGTTTAGGATTTGCAGCCATTGTTATGCATAGTTCCCTCCATTTTCAGACACTCAAAAGTAATCAGACAATCTAACATAACACTATATATAATTATTATTTTCAATTCTATATACTTCAGAATTCATCCTGCTACTTCTGTCAGCAGTCACATCATCAGCAAATACCAGTCATCTCGTTCCACTGGAAGCCACGTGTCCATGCCACACATGGTTTATCTGTCAAGAGGGGTCTGAGTTTGTTTGGAGCGTTCACATTTACACAAAACACGTTGATTAATCACTCAGAGTTCGTTTTGAGGGCTGAAAGGGACCAAATGTGAAAACTGCCTAAACTTCAGTGATATTGTACAGTGGTGTGAAAAAGTATTTGCCCCCTTACTGATTTCTTATCTTTTTGCATGTTTGTCACACTGTAATGTTTCAGATCATCAAACAAATTTAAATATTAGTCAACGATAACACAAGTAAACACATCATGCAGTTTTTAAATGAAGGTTTTTATTATTAAGGGAAAACAAAATCCAAAACTACAAAGCCCTGTGTGAACAAGTGTTTGCCCCCTAAACCTAATAACTGGTTGGGCCACCCTTAGCAGCAACAACTGCAATCAAGCGTTTTCGATAACTTGCCATGAGTCTTCCACAGCGCTGTGGAGGAATTTTGGCCCACTCATCTTGGCAGAATTGTTGTAAGTCAGCCACATTGGAGGGTTTTCGGGCATGAACCGCCTTTTTAAGGTCATGCCACAGCATCTCAATTGGATTCAGGTCAGGACTTTGACTAGGCCACTCCAAAGTCTTCATTTTGGTTTTCTTTAGCCATTCAGAAGTGGACTTGCTGGTGTGCTTTGGATCATTGTCCTGCTGCAGAACCCAAGTTCGCTTCAGCTTGAGGTCACAAACGGATGGCCGGACATTCTCCTTCAGGATATGTTGGTACATCCAGTGTGGTGCTGTACAGAGGCAAAATTACAAATATTGTGCCACTGTGCACATACTGTACCTTTGGACCTGACTGTAAATGGGGAGTGATTTTGGACACAGCCTCTCTTTTTCACAGCATGAACATTTTAAAGTGTGAAGCTCATTTGAAAACACACAACTTTTAGTTTTTTCATTTATTGGTGCAGTCCCTGCCTCTGTTAGCAGATGTCGTCAGTTTCATGGCTAAATACAGATTCATGATTTCATATATTGGAATGGAAATAAATGGTATAGTATCATATTATTTTAGATCAAAACAGGAGATTGAATTTTGGGGTAATATGTCTGTATGTTCTATTTTAGTTGATAATAATATGGGTATCAAGGAACACAGATTAAAGCGACAGCTGCTTGGTTTAGAGATGCAGGACATTTTTAACACACCTGGACACATCATCAGTGATAGAATAGAGGGTAACTTCATATTTGGGTCTTTTAAAGTCAGAAACCCTCGGCAGGCCGCACAGCCACTGGCTGAAAAGTTCTCGGGTTTGTGCTCGATGCATCATCCACAGATCACTGCTCCACAGTCATACAGGCTTCTCAGCTATATATACTGTAAACTGTAGTTCAAGGATGCAAGGCCCTGGAGACTGTTGAGCTGACTTTCTGCTCCAGTCACACCGTACCATGTCAAACAAGCATCATGCAAAGGGAAAAAACTTTTTAACTTGGATTACATTAATCAGTACATGTAAATGTGGCTTGTGTCATGTGCAGTATGATTTCATGTTTTTTCAGTTCGCAAGAGAAAAAATACCCAGAGATGATATTGGTATTCAAAACAACAGATTTGTGCTGGTTATATATACCTATTTTGAGGACAGGATGTGTCAGGGAGTTGAGAAACATGCCTTAGAGTGACAGCGTGGTGGTCAAATGTAGGACTATGTGAGCCTGAGGGATGAGCAGTGAGATGTTGCCATTTTGGACAGATGAACAGAGAAAGTCAGAGGCAGGCTAAGAGCAGGAGCTGAGTGGAACTCTGCTGTCTGGACTGTTGACTGACATTTTCAGGACATCGCCCTAGTTAAGATGTGAGAATTCTGCTGGGAGGGAGAAGGTTCGGGCTTGCACAGGGATGACGGGGAATGCATAAGTCAGTTTGGTTTTTTTTTTTAGAGCAGAAAAGACAGAATGGAGGCTCACTGTCTTGACAGGCTGGGTGGCAGTAGTAGCTGATACAGAGGGCTAACATTAAATGAAATTTATAAATGAATTCCCATTATATGTAAAATGTGTTATTTTTAGTTGGACATGAAGGATTAAATATAGAAATGTCCAACTGATCATTCTAAGCTCTCCAACTGACAAAATACAGCCATTAAACAGCAGTATAATGGAGAAATACACTCAAAAGTAAATGAGTAAAACGAATTACTTCAAAGTCTGCGTGTAGAAATATCTTTCACGAATCATGACGTGGACTTCAGCAGCCTTAGCTCCATAGGCAGGATGAGCTGGGATAGTAGAGAAAGCTCAATGCTGATTATGCTAGTTAGCTTATATGTTAGCAGCATTAACAGAGGTCTGATTATCACCATTTATGGAGGTGAAATTTGAAGGTAACAGTGTTTCGAGTGGTACAGTAAAGGCACAGTACACCCTCCATTGTTTTTAAACTTCACAATGATTCAGAGCAGTGTCTCTCTTAAAGAAACCTCTAGCTGAGCATAAATGCTACAAACACTGGCTGGAAGAGAGCATATTAACCAGGCAAACAGCCAACAACTTGACCTTCTATAGCAATAGGACAGCAACTAATCATGTGCTTTACCTAAAGTGGCAAGTCACAATGAAAAAGACCTGGTAACATTAACAGTGGTCATCTACATTTGGTTAATTTTGTAACAGTTGTATCTCTCGAAATCAACAGTTGCTTCCAAAAATGTTATGCAGCTTTTACTGTTTGAAAATTGTATTTATAAAGTAGCAGTTTAAATAAGACAAATCTAAATTGTCTGTCCCAAGGTAGAGCTTCCACAAAGTGTCCAAAATAGTAGGACCACCTCTGCTGAGAAGAAGCCAGTTTGAGAAGCACCAGCCCTGAGCTGTGATGAGGCGTCTGCCAGAAACACATGAGGCTGCTTTTCTTTCTTCAGGGCTGTTTTTGTCACACTGATGAAGAGAGAGCTTTTGATAATGTTTGCTGCTAATGCCTCTGGCAGCCTGCTGTTGTCAGATGCGATAGACAGAAACATCACTGTCCTCCCCCACACACACACACACACACACACACACGCACCTTTAAGGTCCTTTGGTTCATTAATCTGCCATTTGGAATTGAGACCGTCAACAGGGTGACTGGGTTTTTGTTAGTCCTCTCAAAGTTGTTTTGATTAGTGCCGCTCTAAGTTTCTGTTCTGCCTTCGATCCCTGCAGGCAGCTCAGAAGCAGGCGAAGAACAGGAAAAAGGTACGTTCCTCTTCTTTGTCCTTTGTTTCTCTGTGATTGTCCAGTTTTATGGAAAAGATGACTTGTTTCTACAGAAATATGTGGAGAATGTCAGTACACAGGCAGTGTGTTAATGAATCTGTTCTGATTTTTGTTTCCCTTCCTTTATATTAAAGGTCTGGTGTGTGGATGCCATTTGCTTCCTTTATTTTTAGCTCCAGTGTTGCATACTGCACATTGCGTGAGACATCAGTGTTTTGCCCTTAATTATAGCTGTTAAGGTCGCCCGCGCTGCGCTTTCCCTCCGCTGCTGTTCATCAACTTGTTGCTGCTTTGTTCATTTCTTGTTGTGCTGTGCAGAGCCCGGACGGGGAGGCTTCGTCCACTGCTGAGGTTGACCTGTTCATGTCCACCCAGAGGATCAAAGTACTCAATGCAGACACTCAGGTAGAAAAATGATCGTATGAATTCCTTACTGTACTTAAATGCTTTAAATCCTGGACAGTTTCATCATATAAGGAGAGATGATCCCATAAAAGAAAGCCAACAGGTTAGATTTAACCTACATTCACTGCTTCAGAAATGTTCTTAAACAACTTATTCTGCTGACAGTGTGATGTTGTCGTAGCAGGTCTTTACCAGGATCTCATAGAAAACAGGTTAATTACTGGTGCCTCATGTCTTTTTTTGATCATCAGGAATCTTTAATGGACCTGCCATTGAGGACAATATCCTACATAGCCGACATCGGTAACATGGTGGTCCTGATGGCCCGGGGAAAAATGGTTCGGTCTCGCAGCGCACAGGATAACCTGGACCACACAGCAGAGCAAACCAGCATGACCCACGACGACAGACGGCTGTACAGGATGATCTGCCACGTCTTCGAGTCCGAGGATGTGAGTTATTGCAGCTGTTGTAATAATTTAAATTGTTACAGGGTATCTGCAGGTCTTAAAGTCAGCAGAATCTAGTTTGCCTTAGAAGGTATTAAAATGTCTTACATTTCATTTACAAAAGGCTCAGATATTTTTTTTCTTGCCTGTTAGGCAGTAATGTTAGTTATCAAATGGTTTTGTGTTCAGTGGCGGGCTGTTGGGACACACAACACTCTCCCAAATTGTTTTGACATAGGACTGTGCATAGATGAAGCAGTTTAATCCTCTATGTGGAATTTTAGTTTGCAAACACTCCTAACACCTCCTGGTTTTAGGGTCAAGGTTAGAATTATGTATAGATTTAAGATAAAGACAGAGAATGTCCCAGGTCGGTGAGGGTCTACACAGGTCTAGTAGTACCCTGCTATGTGTGTGTGTGTGTGGGGGGGGTTTACTAGGACATAAATAAGCCTTTTCAAATTGAGGTCTGCCCAGTTTGTCTGTGCAGTTCCACCTCCCACGGGCACTGTAAAAGCTCCCATCCTGATCTCTGTCCCTCAGGCCCAGCTGATAGCTCAGTCAATCGGCCAGTCTTTTAGCGTCGCCTACCAGGAGTTCCTCAGGGCCAACGGCATCGACCCCGAGGACCTGAGCCAGAGGGAGTACAGTGACCTGCTCAACACTCAGGACATGTACAACGATGACCTCATTCACTTCTCCAAGTCGGAGAACTGCAGAGACGTAAGTCAGCCAGCAGGTGGAAGCAAGTGATGGGAGCCTTTAATTTATCACCTTAAAAAAAAAAGCTTTTGCTGGAAGTAATGAATAGAATATTCAGCTTTACATACCGCTACACAAGGTGGTTTTAACAACCGCTGTACATCTAGATCAGTGTTTTTTCTGTTCAGGTCATATTTAAACTCAGATGAGCTAGTGCCATTGTTATTCTGAGCAGCCTGTTCTGTCACTTTGCCTTCCAGTCGTTGTAAATGAGCAGCTGGTTCTGGAGATGCAGCTGGTCATTTAGTTAAAAAAAAAAAAAAAAAAAGTCCCTCTCTTCAGTATGAAGGTGAATTTGAGACACTCAGTGTGGTCTGACCTCAGACCCTGCTGTCTCTCATTTTTCAGGATCGTACAGTTGGCTGTTCGAAGCTTAAAGTAGGCACAGCATTGTGTTTCATGTTTGGATGATGGCGTTACCTCACTAGATGTTTAACTTGTGAATGATATGTTTCCGTAGTTTATCCAGCATGAAGGGGATTTGCTTGAAAATGAGGAGTCTGAGTAAAAGCTCATCCTGTCTTTCAAAAGGGACTGAAAGAGACCAACTAAAGCTCAACTTGATTGCCTGCAGGTTTACATTGAGAAGCAGAAAGGGGAGATCCTGGGTGTGGTGATAGTCGAGTCAGGGTGGGGCTCCATCCTCCCTACTGTCATCATAGCCAGCATGATGCACGCTGGTCCTGCTGAGAGGTCTGGTCGACTCAACATCGGAGACCAGATCATGACCATCAACGGGACGAGCCTGGTGGGTTTACCGCTCAGCACCTGCCAAAGCATCATCAAGGTACGCTGCACCACACACCAAGGAACAGAAAGCAGGACTCATCACTGTGGATGTTGGTAGATTAAGGGCGGCTCAGTGCAGATGTTGTTTTACAACTGTCTCCTCTTACATGAAGTTAAGCTTTGAGACGGGTGTGCCTGCAGCTTTTGTATGGTTCTGTGATGCATCCATTGTCATAGCTAAGCTGACTGTCGTCCATCAGGGTCTAAAGGCTCAGTCCAGGATAAAGATGAACATCGTCAGGTGTCCTCCTGTCACCATGGTGCTCATCCGCAGGCCCGACCTCAGATATCAGCTGGGCTTCAGTGTCCAGAATGGTATTGTGAGTATCATGACTGATCGCTGCCACTGCACCACACACACCCTCGTGTGTGGAGGACATAGCCGATACTGCAAGATGGTACTGTTGTTATATACACTGCCCAGCCACTTTATTAGGTACAATAGTATGCACTTCAGTGCAACACTTCCACCTTAACATCTGTGTTTATGAAGCTCAAAATGTTTGTTTTTGGTGAAATTGTCAAATGTATAAATTCGGTTCTGTTGATTATTGAGGTCATAGTTAAATGTGGTGTTGTACTGGACCACATTATATTCAGGGGTGTGTATATTTTGTCCTCCCCGGCTACATACATGAGATGGTCAGAATATTAGGAACACCTCAGAGTATAATGTAGTTCAGTACGACAGTACCTGTATTTAAGAAGAGCTTTTATTTTTGCAACATACAAACCAGTGTCAGTTCCTTAGCTACAGACATGGAGCAGTGATGCTTTCGATAATGTTCAAGGACGCATTTACAATTTGAATCAATGACATCAGTTATTACTGCCACTCATTATAAATGTTGTGCTCTGGCCCAGTTTCGTGCTGGAGACGGCCAGTTTGAGTCAGGTCCCTGTATTCTCACTTCCTTTATGTGTGTGTTGCAGATCTGCAGCCTGATGAGGGGAGGTATCGCTGAGAGAGGAGGCGTCCGTGTTGGTCACCGCATCATTGAGATCAACAGCCAGAGTGTTGTTGCAATACCTCATGAGAAGATCGTTCAGATCCTGTCTAATGCCATGGGAGAGGTAGGAGCAGCGCTGGATGTTTAATTTTCTTTCAAAACAAACTTTTTCCCCCTTAAACTGTCTGTCGTATTCTTTCTGCTCCAGATCCACATGAAGACGATGCCTGCGGCCATGTACCGTCTGCTGACGGCACAGGAGCAGCCTGTCTACATCTGAACACACTTCTCCCTCTTCACTGTTGTCCCTCCATCTTTGACTTGTTCAAATACCTTTCACCTCTCTATATCCTGTTTGATAGCACTGGACTTGCCTTAATCTGTACAGCCCACGGTCATGTAAATACGTGCACCTGCAGTATGACAGCAGAAGGATTATCTCACTAGGTCAAGTATTAATGTGACGTGTTACATTTGACTGAAGCAATATCGTGGGTTTTATTGTGCATATTTAGGAGGCAAATAGTAAATATTATCTTGGGTTAAATAGCTGTTAATACCTGAATGTACTCAAATCATGTTGGACCTCTGAGTTGTCAGGGTGACCCAATTCAAACCCGAAGCGTTCAAGTCAAAGGGGAATGCATGTACAGTTCTGCTGAATAAACTAAAGGAAATGCAACAGCTCATAAACTCTGGTTTGTTTTATTCAACAGGATTTGAACTGAAAGCAGCTGGCTGTTAATTCAGAAAATGAATTTCCTGGTCAAGAGCACGGAGGTATGCAAGAAACCTTTCAAATCTATCACCACCGCTCTAAAAGATTTTAAATACTTTTTCAAATTGTTTTGCTCAAAATTCACAGCAACTGTTAGATGTTGGTTGTGTAGTTCTAGTGAACACTTCCAAAAAGACAATTGTTAAAAAAACAAAAAAACAAAACATGCAATGTAAAAAAGAGATTTATTTCAGTTTCCCAACAGTCTGTTCTGCAACACTTGGGTTTCACAAACTAAAAAAGAAAATCAGACATTTAGAAGAAACTAATCAACATGATTGTCATCACCACATTAAAGGCTTGACTGGGTTCAGTGTTAACATAAAGATGTGATTGTCTGTGCTGCACGCAGCTATAGGGACGGTCATACAGCATCAGCTTTATGCTGTGCCCCTTAGGTCCAGCTCAAACTTTAATTTTTCATAATATATGTTTACAGTGACATTTACCTGGTCCATCTGTTCCAGCACGGGTTAAAAGCTTAACAGACACCCTCTCCAAAATACAGAAGTGCTGTGTATTCATCAAAGACAAACACTGGCCCCATTTCTCATATGTACTTAAATCGTAAGTACAGATGTTGCATTAATAGTTTGTTTTGTCAATAACATCTGTACTTTGTCTTTGGTGAAGGGAATGTACTTCTGTATCAAACAGGCAATAAAAAGAAGTTTTAAGTTGTTTAAATGTACAGCTTTGTCACTTCAGACAAAAATTTATACAGTCAAGATTTTTTTTTTTCTATAAAGTTTCTTTCCTTGGCCTGACATCAGCACTATGAGGCACTTGAGCATCTGCTGTTTCCTAGAATACACACGTTAAATAGTGTAGTGTAGATGTCCAGTGAAGCAAAGACCAACACCTACAGTATCTGACATCAGAGCAGCTGCTGACAGGTTGGGTAAGGTCTGTGGATTTTCATTTTGACATGAGGAAACCAAAATCAGAAAACAGACCATTTCCTAATTGCTACTTAGAAATAAGGAAACAAAGAAATTGTCTTTTTTTTGTTTTACCACAGGAACCAAAACAAATGATTATCTGAGTGTGATATGTTTACAAATGGAAATCGTAGAAATAAATCAGCATATAATGTTCGATTTCAGATCGTATGTCTGTCAGTTGGGCCGAGGGCAGAGACACCGGAGGAGGCATGCACTCTCTGCATTCAGATAAAATCCTTCCTGCAGGGTTGTGCAGAGGTATAGAACATAACCACCTTGATACAATCAGAAAATAACATATCACTTTGAGTTAGTTTTATTCTGGCTAACGCTGCTCCCTCTCTTCATTCATACCATAGCTCACTCACCCATCACTGCGCTCTCTCTCACTCCTCTCTCTGGTACAAGCAGTGAAAATTGGGCATAATTTTCCACTCCGCAGAGAGAGAGAGCGCAGTGCCCTGCACCCTGTGTGTGTAGTTAAGCTCTGCCCTCGGCCCAGCTGACACACAGATCCGAAATCGCACATTATAGGCTGCTTTATTTCCATGATTTCCATTTTTAAACATATCAAACGACCATTTGTTTTCGTTCCTGTGGTTAATAATCAAAACAAAAAAGGACTTTTTTGTTTCCTTATTTCTAAATAGCAATTAGGAAATGGTTTGTTTTCTGATTTTGGTTTCCTCATTTCAAAATGAAAATCCATCAGCCGCCAAGTACACATACCCTGTAACATACTGACACAGTTTTGGTTTTTACATTATTCTATGAATGTGCCTGAAACACACTAGTGAACAGAGTGAAGAGGTGGCACACAAAACTGCTTGGTAAAAGTAAAACAGATAAGTGGACAGTTTTCTGTCCAGTATCTATGGTTTGGGTGCAGCCTGGTGGTGGTTAGCTCCAGTTTGTGCTTCGTGTGTTTCCATTATATTCAAGTCCCAGAGCTCATTGTGTGGCCTCTGAAAGAGATCTTTGAAACATTCACGAAGTGGTTAACAACCCAGTGCTGTTCTGAGGGAACAGAATTTTCAAAGATTTTTCTAACCATCTGCAATAAAGATTTTTAACAAATTTTCAAAGTCGTGACTCTTTGAAGGTCAAGACAAAACATGCCATATGGTCTTGTCACAGACCACGTTTCAATTTATCTATTGAATTAGTGAGGAAAATGCGGCAGCTTCAGCTACCTGGGCAGGAAACTGAGGAGCACGGTTACATTAATCATTAGTCCAGCAGCACCCAGATGATTAGAAGAGTCTGTTTCTGTAAACTTCAGAACAGCAGAGAAATTTAGTTCAACAACCTCTGGGGTTTTCAAAAAAAGAAATGTTGAGCAATTATCTTTCATGAAATCAAATATGCAGCTCTGACTAGAATGTAATAGTAAAATGAGAGGTACAAACTGGTTACTAGAATGGAGGGAAAATACAACCTCACTTGTAACAAAAACATATTCAGACTCAAAAGTCATTTATATATATATATATTACAGTGAAATATCAGGCAGGTGTGAAGGCAAACTAGCCATAGCACACTGTATAGGTTGTGAGTTATGTGTTGTGTGTGTCACCTGGATCAATGCATAGTTTCTGCACAAACACTTCTGAAGTACAACATGTAGTGGGACGACAGCAGTAAAAACTGTCTGAAATTAGTGCAGACATCCTTTCAGACAAACAAAACATTGTGACAGTTTACATAAAGGTAAAACTGCATAAACTGTTACCAAGGCGACGAGTGCTGTCTGCGTGTAATGCTGTGGGATGCCACTTCCTGGTCTCCCGTCCTACAGCTCAGTGTCTTTGTATTTCTGGGGATCATAGTATCCCCTCTTGGCCTGGTCAGCCAGCTGTCTGCGGTACTCAGCCTCGTCCTCGTGTCCTCTGGTCTCTGAGTACGGTGGCCTGGATGCAGTCTGTGGCTCAGGGTTTGAGCTGGAACTGATCACAGAGACAGACAACAGTGACACAGCAGCACAGCTTTGCCTTGTGTAGGACTAATGGATCATAAGTTAGGACATCTTAATAAAAATAATCATCAAGAGAAGAGTAGTGCTCTCACCCTATTGGTTGAGGGCGGCTGAGGTTGGGTTTTGGCAGCTTCACTGGGACAGCGTAGATGTCTGGATGCTTCTGGGCGATTTCCAACTGTGTGAAGAGAAGACAAGATGACCCCGATGTGTCAGAACCAATCAACACAAGACATCCTGAGTGCATGGAACCCAAAGGACCACAAGTGTTTTTGCAGCTTTGTCCATCTGTTCAAGGACAAGTCCACATGAACACTGGAACACGTTACTGGTTTTAAGTCTTCCCTTACTGCAGTAATTTCGGTCCAAGTGAAGGGGGACAAAATCCAACCATCCTCATCCAGCTGACGCTAATGTGAGGCTTCAGCAGTTTGATTAACCCTATAAAACCATTTGTTTTGCTAGATGTTTATGAGCAAAAATAAAAAAAATCACCAAAAATGCCCCATGTATCAAATATGATACAAAGATAAAAAATAAAATAATATGGCACATTTATTCCTATATGCCTGGACTGTCTGCATAAATGGCAAATAAAAAATCTTGAATTTGTCTTTTGGATTTTGTTAAAAGGCTTAATAAACATCTCAGTTCCAAAAAATTAGAATGTTCTATTTTTTGATGTGTCAGGCTTTACAGGGTTAAGACTAATCAAGACCTTAACATTGGAAGATACCCACTCACACTGCTGAAGACCAGCTTCATCTGAACTTTAGAAAAAGGACTGGATTTGAGATTTTCAGTGTAAATATGGGCTGTCTCTAGTGTTTTCAGACATACTTGAAAAATATGAACTCAATCTTTAGGTCAACATGGAGGATCAGTCTGAGGCGCCTGAACTCCCCATCTCATCTGCTGCCAAACACATTCTGCTACATGTGCTGCTGTGAACACACAGTTGTGTAACACCATATTAATATGAACAATAACAGTACTGACTCGAGCATTTTCTGCCTCTTGCAACTCCAGGATCCTCTGAGCCCGGGCCAGGTGGTCCATCTTCTCAAAAGCTCGAATCTTTAGGAAAATACAGAAACTTAAAATTTTTGATGAGAAGTAATACATAGTGCAAATCCATGCAGTGTGACTGTTATGGAAGTGACTGCCACATGAAACATTTGAGTGTAACAGTTTTAATGAAATGAATATGTAAAGCACCATTATGATGGGTTATGGTTTTGAATGAAGGATTGAACATTCAGTTACCTGGACACCCATTTTCTATTTCACATTAGAAGCAATAAGAGTGATAGAAGAAAATGAAATTATTTAATATCTGAGAAAGTCTATAAATGCTGTTTGAGCAAAAAATAATAGAATATTTATGGAAGGAGAAATATGAGATTTAATAGGTCAAAAATCTGTCAAACAGATTTTGTTTTGCTGTACATTTTTGGTCAAAGAGCAATAAAGAATAAGTCTGACCTTGCCCATGAAAGATTTGTTGGCAGGGTCCTCCTTCTCTGAGCTCTGCTCCTCAGGTGGCTGGTTGAGGAGGGGGATGGTGGGCTTCTTGGCGACAGGAGGGGGAACCGGCCTGTTTCCGCCCACTGCTTCGCTGCTAATGGTGCTGCTGGAGCGTGAGTCAAAGCTCCGCGCTGACTCAGTCCGAGTCTGAGCATGCACCTGACACAAGAAAGAAGCGTTGAGGATATTTTGGTCCATTTGAAATCTTTATTTAGTGGCAGGCAGGATGGGCTTTGGAGAGGATGGTCTGCTGTTGTGCTCCTTCAAATTACAGCACGTACTCAGACGTGAGAGCTGCTGCATTTACAGCTTCATTTTCAAGGGCACATGAAGCATTCAAAGTGACATCCTTCCAGCCATGTCCAGCACCACACAGAAAAATGAACAGGATTTTAAAAATATCTTCACTAGCATACAGTATAGCAAGAAATTCACATCAACACAACTGAGGCTTTTGGTCTGGAATCTTGCCAAGACCATTTTTCAGCTCAGGTTCAGCAATGTGTCAGGGCTGAAAATCAACAGATAAGGTTTTAAATATTGAGAAAATAAACATTTAAACCTGGAAAATGTTAAAAAACATAATTCCCATACATAAGGACCAGTTTTTTAAAAACAGCTGGGTGTTTAATTTGTCCTTAGAAAAGAACTCCACGTGACTTCCAGTAATTCTATATGTGAGGGCTGAGTAACAATCCTTGATACTTTAGGACCAGCTGACATTTGTCTGTAGCACACTGAAAACTCCTGAATACAGTAAACTGGCATTGAATACCTTGTCAGACTCGTAGTCTTTAATCAGATATTTACCAATTTAAATCCAAAATCTGCCAATGTTAGATTTAGTGATGCAAAGTTCTTGTGTGTGTCAGCTTGTGTTCAGATAACATTTAGCATTTGAGAAATTAAAAAATGGGGTTTTGTACAAAAATGTGTTTCCACTTCTCAAAATAAGATGTCATAAGTTTTGGCAGATAGAGAAGATAACACCTTTTCTGAATCTGACACAATTTGCTGTTACTCATTACAGGACAGTAAAAAGAGAGTGATATTACAGAGACTTGGGGGGGGGTTCTCACCTTCGGGGGTTCGGGGACAAAAGAAGGGGGGGGACTGGGCTCTCTGTTCTGCTTCTCTTTGCTCCCTGACCTTCTCATACGAACCCAGGGTTCAGAGTGAGGCTTCTACACACACACACACACACACACACACGCACGGACACACACAGAGGATGAGAATTAATTGGGTGTTGTTAAAAAGGGTGAATCTACTCTGTACACGCTGTCTAGTATTTTATACATTATCAGCGGACATGCCCACCTCGTCTGGCAATATGGGTTCTGATGATCGGCTGATGGCAGACACGGGCTGGGGCTCGTCTAACGTCTCATCCAGCTCGTTGTCAGTGTAAGCCCCGCCTTCGTCTGCCGTGTCATCGTAGTCACTGGTCAGACGGCTGTCCATGCTCAGGTAATCTGCACTCATGGCTGACAGGTACGACATGCGGTCATCCTGGTGATCCAGGTCCTCCTCCGAACCGACCAGCTGTGGAGAACAAGTGACACAGAGAAAGGTGACTATACAAACCCAGCACAACTTAGTCAAACTCACATGCAACAGTAGAATTCATATTATTACTGTCTTCTTCTTCTTCTGTCTTTTAGGAGCCTGATATGCTTGATTAAGAATCCATATGTGTCTTTAGGCACATATGACTTCAAAATTCAGAGAAGTGGACAAAAAAATATAATTAACCTCCCGTCAGCAGCAGTGTAACAGCCAGGCAGATTAGAAGACTCACCTTGCCCTCACACACCCACACAGCTCTGTCCTGCTGTTCCTGAATTGAATCTTTCACGCTGCCATACCATGCATCATTGGCCGAGTTCAGGTCGATGGTGGCTAAACGTGTACAAAAATACACAAAACCAAGCTGGTAAGTTACCAAAGGCCAGATCTAACAGATCTATTCTGTGTTTTTCTGTCAATATGGGGGGTAAGAGTTTTTTTTAAATGTTTTATACATCTTCTGTTCAAGCCTGTTTGCTTCACTTTTAAGTGTTGCACTTATTATGACTCATGAAGGACAAAAATAAATACTTAAATAAAAAAAACTGACTGTGCAGAACCAGAGGAACTGTTTTTTATTGCATGCATTCTTCTTCCTTGTCAAAACCTGGCACCTACATTACCCACAATCCAACTCAAATGCCAAATGTGCAGTTGGACACTAGGTTGTGTTTTATGGAGATAAAATACTATCAAAAATGTTACAAATGTGTTTAACGTTTTGTCTGTAACAAGCGATTTGTGTGTGTGTCATGCTGTTCACAAATGCATGCTGTACAAACTGCACATAA